GCTTTCATTTTGAGCATATTTCATCTGACAATATAAATTTTAAAATCATAAATTTTTGCAGAACCGACTATTTTACCAAAGCTAGGTTGACATTTGATAAAAAAAATTACATCATTTCAAAAACTTTGCCTTTTCTGATGTACATACATCCAAATCCCCCTTCTTGCCCTAATGTAATTTCAAAATCTAACTGACTTTTTTTTTTAGGTTTATGATTAAGGAATATCTAGATGATGACATTAAAAATGAAATAGAAGAATCAGATATTCAATTGATAGATCCAAATAAAAGGATATTTATGAAGGAAGAGAAATATTCAAGTGATGCTCATTCAACAAGACCAGATGCTATTAAAAAATTCCAATGTTACAATTGCAATGCCTCATTTAAAACTAAATCAAATTTAAAAAAACATTTAGTGACACACTTCGATATTTTTCCTTTTAAATCTAACACTTGCAAAACAAAATTTAAACAAACAGGTCATTTAAAGACTCATATGTTAATACATTCGGATGTTTATCCTTTTGAATGTGACACTTGCAAAGCAAAATTTAAACGAAAATACAACTTGAAATGTCACAAATTGATACATTCGAATATTTATTCTTTTGAATGTGACATTTGCAGTGCAAAATTTAGACAAAAAAGCCATTTGAAGAATCACAAACTAACACATTCGGATGTTTATACTTTTGAATGTGACACTTGCAAAGTGAAATTTAAACGAAAAGGCGATTTGAAAGATCACAAATTAATACATTCAGATATTTATCCTTTTCGATGTGAAATTTGTAAAGCAAAATTTAGACAAAAAAGCAATTTGAAAAGACACAAACTGACACATTCGGATATTTATTATTTTGAATGTGACATTTGCAAAGCAAAATTTAAACTAAAACAAAGTTTGAAAAGTCACAAACTAATTCATTCGGATATTCGTCCTTTTGAATGTGACACTTGTGAAGCAAAATTTAAACAAAAAGTTGATTTAAAAAATCACAAACTAACACATTCGAATATTCGTCCTTTTGAATGTGACATTTGTAAAGCAAAATTTAGACAAAAACGCAATATGAAAAGACACATATTAAAACATTCGGATAAAAGAAAAAAATAAATTGCAACATGCAACGCTAAAGTTAATACTTCTGCTGTCGAACTCTCGAACTTAATAGAAATAGAAAAAAAATTCTTTCCATCAATAAATACTACTCTCTATCAGGTTCGGCGCAAGCGACTTTGGCGCCCTGGGCAAATGTAGTGTCTGCCGCCCCCATCAAGTAAAAATATGTACAAATATTTATTCAGATTTCAGATTTAAATATTTCATAATACATTTGTTTTATAATTATTTACTATTCAATATAAGAATAAAATAAAACATGCTAAATACTAATTAGTTACATTTCAATTCAACGTACTATATAGTACATGTAGTAATAACATTGTATGTAATAAGTATAATCCCTACAATGAAATAATGCACCTAGGTAACTAAATACCTGTATGTGCAAAGTAGCATATGTTTTAAAAAGTAACAATAAAATAAAATCTATTCCTTAAGGAAAAAGTATCCAAGGGGCACTCAAAAATACGCGGAAAAAATATATCAATATATACTTGTATATTATATATATATATATATATACATATATATGCACACAATAAATTATCCAATATCTAAGTCACCGATAACACAATCAAAGAACTTACTAGTTGAAAATGTTCTTAAAAGTATCTAAATTTACATAGATGAAATCTCTGCAAGCTACACAAAATCGCTTCAGATCTAATTGCTTAATGTGAGGTGGTAACAGATTATACAGTTTGGGTGCAAGATATAATACTGATCTCAATTTCTTAGTTGTGGAGACAATTGGTGTTTCTAGATATTTGTTCACATTAATTCTAGTTTGATATTGATGGCTAATAAAATTTTTCAATTTATCAGATTTGTGGACATATATGCAAGTAGACAGGCAATACAGGGAACGCACATCAAATACCTCTTTTGAGTAGAGCAGGGCAGTAGAAAAACGTTTCTTCTTTCTAAAGATTACTTTCAATATATAATTTTGTGCAATGTTTAAGGCAGCTAATGAGTTCTGGTAGAGTCCACCCCATACAACCACACCATATCTGAGTAATGATTCAACAATTCCCTTATATACCATTATTAAAAGCTGTTTGTTTAAAATTTCTCTAATTGAATAAAATTTATATATTAACTTTCTAATATTTTTTGTTAATCGAAGTACATGTCTATCCCATTTCAGATGTTGGTCAATTATAATTCCCAAATATTTTGTGCTATCAACTTGAGCTATATGACTGCCAAGATTGTCAATGTACAAACGGTCAAACTCTGGTCGGTTTGCAGATGTTAGTGAAAATGCAATGTAGTTAGTTTTTGAGGCATTTAGTGATAATTTAAAAGAGTCCAACCAGTGCTTTATTATACTTATACCATCAATAGCCAAGTCTCTGACTGAGTCCCATGTTTCTCCAGAAAAAACATAAGCAGTGTCGTCAGCATATGATATTACTGATCCATTTCGAGTTGATATATTAGTTAGTGAATTGATGTATGCCACAAAAAGAATTGGCCCCAGTACAGTACCTTGTGGAATTCCGATCTTAACACTAAGAGGGTCGCTTATTGTATCTCCAACTCTAACAGACTGTGTTCTGTCGCTCAAGTAGTTAGCAAAGACATCCAGCACAATGCCCCGAACTCCATAAGATTCTAACACCAAAAGAAGCAAATCATGGGGCACTGTATCAAATGCCTTCGCCAAATCCAGGAAGACGGCGATACACTTTTTTCCATTGTCCAGACTACTAGTAACCTGCCTACACAATTCACAAACTGCATCTGTTGTACTAAGTCCCTTCAAAAAGCCAAACTGTCTCTCAGATAAGATCTTATTATGGTCAAAAAATTTCAACAAACGATCTTTTAGGCATTTTTCAAAAATCTTAGAGAAGGAGTTAATGATGCTAATGGGACGATAGTTGCCAATATTAGTTTTGTCTCCAGACTTGTGAATAGGTATAACAAGTGCCTCTTTAAAAGCTTTAGGCACTTTAGCCGTTCGAAAAATTAGATTCATGATGTGTGCGAGAGGAGAAGCAATATACAAGTGAAGGTGTTTGACAATTATAGAGGTAATACCATCAGCACCAGGAGCGCAATTATTTTTAAGTGAGGCTATTTGTTTTATTATTTCGAACTTATTAGTTGGGCTCAGAAACATAGAGAATGGTGCTGTTGATTCTATCTGAAGGGGGCTAGGAGGCGACTTTATTTTTTTATACATATTGTATCCAATATCAACAAAATATTTATTGCAGAAGTTAGCCATGTCAAAGCTGTTATCAAACTGAACATTATTTTGCGTTATTTTTAGATTAATGTTGTGAGTAGTAGGGTTTGAATCCGTTGCTTCATTTATAACTTTATAAATTTTTCTGATATCAGTACCACTATTCAAAATTTTTGCTTTGTAGAAATCACATTTACACTTTTGAATTAAGTTATGTAAATTATTGCGATACTGTGTGAAGGCTGTTTTATTCGCCAGAGTGTTATGCCGTAGAAGTCTTTTTTTCATTTTATCCCTATTTTTTATGCTAGTGATTATCCCATTTGTGATCCAAGGTTTAACTTTTTTGATTTTTTTTTTCTGATAATGTTTTTTGGATTTTTGCTTGATTTAGGGCATCAGAAATTATCTCATTTAACATTAACAAGGCAGAGTCCGGGTCTTGTGTGTTATAGATGCTATCAAAATTTTGATCTTCGATTAAGCTTTTCAATAATACATAATCTATTTTGGTGACAGTATGGGCATTTGAACCACCCTCATTTGCCTGAATTCCGCTAAGACTATTTATGTTGAACATGGTCGGATAGTGGTCTGTAATAGCAGACTGGATCACGAAAGATGAGTACTTTAGGTTGGTTACGACCTTTCTTAAAAATATATGATCAAGGTTAGTTGAAGAATCAGTTGTAACTCTTGTAGGAGAATTAATGGTGGAGACAAAGCCAAAGTGGTTTAATATTGAGGTATAAGTCACAACTTCATTATTGTTCTCATTAAGTAGGTTCAGATTTATATCCCCCATCAGGACATCAACCTGATTTTCGAATGGGGCTGAGAAATAAGCCTCAATGTCCGAGAGAAAATGTGGTGTGCTTGCAGAAGGCGGCCTATAAATGCATGAAATCCTAACAGAGACGTCACGTATACTTAATTCTACATTAGTAAGGGTGACTTTTGACAGACTAAGTTTTGTGTGCGTTACCAAATGCTTTAGATTGGATCTTATGTAGACTACTGTGCCATCATTTTTATTGAAATCTGCATTATTATAGTACATAGAATAACCATCAATACAGAAATTGTCACCACTTTCGAGCCGCCAAGATTCTGTGAGAACAATAATATCGCAGTATTTAAGATTGTATGCCTCAAAAAAACCAACCAGATCGTTAAAGTTTTTTTTTAGGCTTCGAATATTTACATGAAATGCAGTTAAAATTTTATTACTTAAATTAATTTTATTGCCTAGCATATCACCGTTCGTAATAGTTTCCTCCCTAATATCATTAACTAGATTGTCCAGATTTTCCAAAAGTTCAATTTCTTCTTGAATATTAGCCATTGTTAGCACCATAATCAATCTTACCGCTTAAAATAGTCACTAGATATTGGTGGGAAGGGCAATCTGGATCTGCAGCTCCATGGTCAGTCTTATATTTCAAGTTGTATTTTTGATTAGCTAGTATGCAGTTTTTACACTGTTTTTGAGCACCATTTTCACATTCGCGAGAATCATGTTGACCTGAACACGTTCCACAGGATGGTTGGTTTGGGCACTTGTCAGACTTATGATAAGGTTCCTGACATTTAAAGCAGCGAGTCACACGAATGTCTTCGTAGATTGGATACCTTTCCCAACCAATAAACACCTTGCCAACATCCATAAATCTATGAAATAGAGAAGGAGAGCACAGTGAACCGGTCTCTTATCTTTTTAACGAATGTAATCTTGAGTTCATCATTCATGTTAATAAATTTATTTTGTTCTCTGATGCACTTGACCAAGTCTTGCTTGCCCAAGGTACCATCATATCCTGTTATTTTTATTCTAGGCTTTTTCAGTTCTGGAATTTGTATTTCATAACCACTTAATTTCATGTCAGCCTCTCTTTTTAATGCCTTTAGGTCTTGTTTATTTTGGCACTTAACAATTATATTACCATTTGAAGTGCTGCGAGTACCTCCAATTGCAATTTTCAATTCAAATGGTTTAATATTCAGTTTCAGATCAGACTCTATTTTTTTTATAGTTTGGTTTTGCATGGGCTTAATTATCAGGCTGGGTAAGTTATAGTTATAGTTGGTTAGTTTACTCTGACTTTGCTTGACCGAGCTGGTCAATGCATTACTGTAAGACATACCCATTTGGTTAGGATTCTTCTGTGTGCTTTCTAAGTCCTCAATTTTCTTCTTCAATAAGGAGATAATCTCATCCTTACTCATGATAATCCTTGTTTTGTCTTCAATGGTGTTTTGTAGAAGGGTGCATGTCTGAAAGGATAGACACTTTCTGCAGTGAAATATCATAACCCTATTATTAAGCTGCAAAACTTTAACTTCGGAGGAAGTTAAGTCTGCACAGGTCTTGCACATACCCAGTCGACACCCATCGCACTTGAAAACATCCCTGTTTTTGTCTTTGCAAACATCACATTCCATTGGTAACAGAGACAAAAGTCCACTGCCCGCTGAGAAGACAATCTGACAACACTGTACTGCTTAAAGCATCGTCGGCGTGATGCCCAGACTTATTTGTATATTTTAAAGCACGTTTTTACAGTCTCCCTTCATCAGTTACGCAACTTTACACAACATACATTGCGCACATACAGAAATTTTTAATAATTCCGACTCAAAAAATAGCAAAGTGACCCACGAATCCCAGCGAAAACAAACAGCTGACGCGCGACGTTGCCAACAATAAATAATTAATTTTCAAAAACATGTTTTATAATTTTATTAATGATTGTACATTATGTAAGTATACCTGACTTACGCAATACAGATTATAGAATATCAACATAAAAAAAATATACACCGTGATTTACGTAGCCCGTACATTACAAGTTTTTCATATTTCAGGTGGATAAGTAGAGATAGCCTCTAATCCACCTAAAATCTAATGCACGGGCTACGTAAATCATCCTGTATACACACATGCCCACCACAGGCGTTGGCAGAGGCGGAAAATTCGTTCTGGTGCCAGGCCCAAAACGTTAATTTTGTGCCAAAAATATTCATAACATAAAATAATTAGTTTTTTTTCGCCGCCCGCCACCTGGTCGCACAACCCCTAGCGACTAGCAGAAACAGGTATAGCAGTATGTGCTTATAAGAACGGCAAACTTGTATTTGGGTTTGCTAGAGAAATGGAATCCTGAATATTATGAAGAGCAGAATTCAAAAGAATTTTTTTTGTTGCCTTTTTGCCGCCCTTTCAAGTTTGCCTCCCTAGGCGACCGCCTAGTTCGCCTAATGGTTGCGCCGACCCTGCTCTCTATGACTGTTTCCTGAAATCTTCGAGTAACTTCGTTTATAGAGAAACAACCTATTGAGAATGATTTCTGACAAAAACTTAGTAATTCAATGTCGATGCGAATTATTGGGGGTGTCAGTCATGATTCTTTCATAAGGAAAAATTCTCAAATACGTCAAACATCAGACACTTTTCGACTGTTCTTGCTCCCAGTCCAATTGCGTTTAAATAATCTGCTAATTCCCCCCTTGTATCTATGATGTTTCATTGCTATTCCCGTCAGCATCAATCATGAAAAAATCAAACAAGGATAAGCTTACGTCAATTGTGATTATGCACGAGTGCGTTTACAGTTATCGCCTGACGACACCCGGCTTTCGTCAAGACTGCTCATAGTTCTAGCCGGGTAAAATTTGTCGGCGTTGACAGTTCGAGTGAAAATTCGTACGGCGAACAACTTTTTCATGTTGTTTGTTTTATCTCAACTTAACTGGCCTTTACTGCACATGCAAAATTGGTGCAAGGGTAGTAGTTGGTATGTGTGTACATTTAACTAGCGTTATTTGGTTTCTGGGATATTCTAAGTATTTGGCGAACATTAGATTTCCATCCAACTATCTTTTGAAAAAAGTTCGAGATATTTCAAATCGATTTCACAATCAAGGCAATATTTAGTATAATGTAAATATATTGTAGGCACTTGCAAACTTATGTATATTTAAATAGCTATTATAGTTTCTCTTTTTTTGAAGATGTTAACGTGGCTAGTGAAACACTTGTTAAAAAAGTAATGTATTTTTGATTAGTGGTAAAACTGTGTTTGATATTTGATATCATAAAACTGAAGGTTTCAACATAGTTTTAAGTGTTGAACATTATCAAAATTATAGATCTTTTTACCTTGATATCTTTTATTGTTTAGTTTCTACCCATTATTATATTTGCTATAAATAATGTTCTATGAAATGTTGGTTTTATTCATGTTAATACAATGAAATGTCAAAAGTTTTTTTCCCTGCACATGAATCATCAATACAGCTTTTTAATACACTGCAAAGTGAAACAAAGGAAAAAAAAAAGAAAATAATAACAACACAAACATTTAGCACAAGCATGCAAATAAAATATAAACATGTGTGAGTAGTTCAAGACAATGTAACAGTGAAAAACAATTCATTATGTTCTGCAATATACATATGTCCTAACAAGTAGAGAATAATATTTTGCATTTGCATTCTTAAAATGACAAGGCAAAATGTTATGAAATTTTTGGTCCCAAGTAGTTAATTGATTTCTTCCTGAACTCACTATAACATCTAGGAACAAACATTTATTCGAGTATTATAGATATAAACTATGGGATGTTTAATTCTTTCAAGAGTATGCATATAACAATAAACTGTATGATAGAACAATGTTCTTATATTCAAAATGGTGTTATTTTAGAGGAGATGAGAAGGATATAAAATATTTTATATCCTACTGAACTATTAAAACCATATAATACCTTGGTTACGATAATCATAAACAGGGTCTTAACTCCCAAGGGAGTTAAGGATTTTCATAACTCCCAAGGGAGTTAAGGAAGGGAGTTAAGGATATCATAACTCCCAAGGGAGTTAAGGATTTCCATAACTCCCGCTTTTACCTTGAATAGGTAACACTTTGACAAAAAATAGAAATTTTGATTTATGGCTTATTCCTTTATAAAAATAGACAGAATACAGTAAATTCAGTAGGATATAAAATTATCTATGTACCACGGGAATTATCAGGAGTTAATACCCACGGGCAATTGGTGTCCCTCGGGCCGGAGGCCCTCGGGACACAAACGTTGCCCTGGGGTATTAACACCTGCATAATTCCCTTGATACATAAATAACTATTTTCTAATTTTTTTTTTAAATATTCTATTCTGAACAGTTTGTATAGGGTTTTAAGAAGTTGTTGTATATACTGTCACGGCTTTGGCTTGCCTGACAGAAATCTTGGGTTCGTTTCGTTTATTCCAAAAATTAAAGTCCAATTAACACAACAATAATTTATTCCAGGTAACAATACACTCTGACACTAATTACTTTAATAACTAACTCAACAATTATACTCTCATAACAATAATCACTCTTTGAATCGTATCACAGTCAAACTGAAACTAAACTTACAAACCAATGCCGGCCTTCTTATATATTCCTAAATCTATTCCTGTAAAATCTAGAATACACACGATAATGGCCAGAACTCCAACTCTTACCAAATAAATGCTGGTGTGCCACAGGGAGCAATCCTTTCGCCAACTCTTTTTCTGATTTACATAAATGACCTCATAGATAAAACAGTAAATCCACTTTATTGCTTTGCAGACGATGGCAATGTAGTCTCTTCACTCATACCACCCACAGGTCTTTCCGCACGTGAATTCCACCATCTTAGACTAACTCAAATATCGCAGATAAATAACGACCTGGAGATAATAGAGGACTGGGGTGACAAAAACCTTGTACAGTTCAACGCGCAGAAAACCCAAGCAGCTCTGTTTTCAAAAAAGACCAGCACCGGTGAGCCAAACATCATGCTATCTGGAAGTGCTGTCACATTACAGAGTCAGTTGAACATCTTGGGGGTTACTGCAGAGACCAACATGTCTTGGCACAGTCACGTGGCAGATATTGCTAAAAGGGCCTCCCAAAAGCTGGGGGTGCTATTTCGTACAAGACATCTGTACACACCAAGCCAATTGCTGACACTCTACAAAGCCCAGATTCGACCAACTATGGAGTACTGCTCACATATATGGAGTGCAGCACCCAAACATACCTTAATGCTTTTGAATACCGTGCAAAAACGAGCTATCAAGCTGATCAATGACCCCGCACTTACTCGGAACTTGGATGGTCTCGAACATCGCAGATCTGTGGGCGATTTATCTCTCTTCTACAGGTACTATCACGGAAAATGCTCTGAAGAGTTGGCACGTATGATTCCACCGAGAGTAGCACCTACCAGGCGAACCCGTCAAACAGACGGTAACCATGAATTTACTGTCAAACTAGAGGCACCAAGAACCTCATTATATCAGAATTCATATCTCTGGAGAACAGCATCGCTGTGGAATAAACTCCCTGCGACGGTTTTCCCTGCAGGTTACAACCTGAACCGTTTCAAGACCAACATACACCGACATTTCCGCGCACTTGCCGCTTCTCGAGCGTGATAGGACATTTCCTTGCGAGTGCGCATATCCGTAAAAAAAAAAAAAAAAAAAAAAAAAAAAAACCTATTTTCTGGATTATAGTAGAATAATTTGCTAGATTCTAGGATATTTGACAGGCATAGGAGTCTTGACAGCCTGGCGGACGCCGTTCTTCTGGCGTCAGCGTTATCGTAACACTATTTTATTCCTGAACCAAATTCGTATTTCTTGACAAACCTCGTATATAGTTGCGAAGAAAAAATAACATTATAAAGTGAAACTTCTTAGGGTGGTGGTCTGATATTTGGACGAGAATAAAGAGTGATTTGAAAAACGCCTCACGTAATGTAGTGCAACGTCACGTAGCGTCACTTAGCAAATTTTATTGAGATCTACAACATACCAACATTCCATCAAAATCGTTGCAATTTGTATAGAAAAAAAAAGAAGATATTACTTGGTTTTTGATCAAGGAGGGATCACATCTCATTAATCATGCCTTTAACATTTTTTTGAATAGGTTTATCAGAAATTATAATGGAATGCACATTGTTGTTGTTGTTATGAAGACTTGTTTTTGCATAACCTGATTGATTCTTTTAGGAATATTATATTTTGCTTTTAGAGATTATAGTTTTTTTAAAATTTTTCTAATGTTTTACAGATTAAGGATTAACATATTTTGTTGTGTTAAGTTCTGTAATGTGGTAAATATATTAATAAATAATTACAATAATGTATAAAGTTCATTTAAAATTCATGTATTTGGTTTCTGGA